ATCTCTCGCATCAACTCATTTCACTAAGAAAAACATTTGAGAGACGAAGGGAGTTTTCTAATTAATTGTTTTTCGGTCCAAACAAAGGATTTTACAGTCAATGACTTATCAATGACTTGTTCAGCGAAAGCATAGATACCGAGTCAAGGGTCAAACGTGTTCCATCCTGTTTTATATTTGTTCCGCGTTCATCACAAACCTCTTAGTGTCATTGAGTGTCTGGTTAGATTTATATGAATAAAAACTATCCTTTGATTAAAAAAGACCTTCAGACAATGTCGCTTAAACCTGTTTTAGTTTGTTTTCTCACGTTCATTTAAGTTTTTGCAACTCACAACAAATAATCGACAATTTTAGACGCAATTATTTGGGTTGTCAAAGGTTAGTTTGTTCCACACGATAAGCTTGTTCCAGGTCTCCATGGCAACTAGCTATTCATCCGAAGACCTCCTGTTGTCATTCATGTGTTAAGTGGTCTTTTGTTATGTATTATTATAAGTGTTTTCTTTGCGATCACGTCTAGCCATTGCTTATTTTCATCTAAGGCCTTCCATGACTTAGCCACGCATTTTTGAGTAAATTCATCTTCACTAGGTCGATATGGTGGATTCAGTGGTAATGATGGTTTTTAAATCCACTGCTATGATGCTTTTCAACAAAGGTAAAAAACAAGCTTTGGAAAAGCTGCAACATTCTGGAGATGCAATCGACCAAACCATTTGTAGCTTGATTGCCGGTGAGCTTGATGAAATCAAGTCAGAACTGAGGGCAGCGAGAGCAGCCCCTCTTAAAACAAGTATTGACTTGTACAAGGAAGGACTCACATCCATTTCTTTCGATACTGCTGAACCACCGCTGAAGAGAATGAGAGTGGACCAATTGGACGGCAGTGCGGTACCAACCTTCTATAAAGTAAAGGTTGAGATGAGCGATGTAACCAAAAAGAGGTTTGCTGATGCGCGCCTTGCAGCAGGGGAAGCCCTCGGAAATACAAAGTTGGACATAAAGGAGATAATTTTAGCTTTCTATGTTAAAATTATGGCTACGCTCCTGGAAGACGCCGACACCGATCCAGCGAGAGCTATTTTGTTTTGTAAGAACTACTTAGAAAAACTGAATTCCTTGCCAAAGATCTCTAATGAATTCCACCAAGGATTGGTTGGTTCGCCTTGGCAGAGGGCGGCATCATTCACATCAAAACGTGTGGAAGTCATTTGGTCTGTCTGCCATCTGAATCGCATCGTTTTCGACGTTGCACAGTTTTCCGGAGCGGACAGTGTCCTTCAAGAACTCTTCGTCTGGCCGTGTATCTCAATTAGAAGTAGTGGGTCTAACACGGAGGAAGTTGATCCACTGCGTGATCCTCGGTTAGACAAGCTTTTAAAATCAGAGGATAAGGAACTCTGTTCGGTGATGCTGTCGTTTGGCGACAACAACACTCACAATCTTACTCTTCCTTGCAGTGTGGCATCAAATCCACAAGATCAGTATTTGGTGGTAAATTACAACACGACCGATAAGTTCAGCAGCCATGGAAAATTTCTCGACTCTTTTACCGTACCGACTGAAGGCCGTGCAGTGGATGTAGCCACGGACAAGGATGGTAGGGTTTACTTGCTGGTGACCAAGAAGCAGGATTCTGAAGGAGGCAACATGGATCAAAATTATGAAGTGTTCTTATATGATAACGACGGCAAACATCCTTCCGGTAGTTTCCCCCTGAGAAGAAACTCTAAAGGACTCAAATTGGCCGTGAACCAACACTCTGACAAGATTGAACTGCTTGTTTTAGAGGGGAAAAGGGGTCAAAAGCTACATGCTAGAGTGGAAGTCTACGAGGCCAATGGTACTTTCCTCTCTCAGTTTGGAGAAAGGATTCTACAGGATGCGCAAGACATCGTTAGCGGTAACGATGGCCATGTTTTCGTTTTGGATAAATGCCACGAGTCAGAAAAGAAATTTATTCGCGAGTTCGGTGTGGATGGATGTCAACTCCGACGGTATAGCGTGGGTTCTGACTCGCTTGCCATAGCATTTTGTCGTCCAAGTAAAAGCGTCATCGTTGTCTCAGCTTCCAACCCAAATTGTTTCGAGGTGGCCATACACCAAGTGGCAGACGGAAAACATAACAATCGCGATCTTCAGCTACTGCGCAAACTGAAGGTCGAAATAACAGGAATCCTTTTGGAGCTACACGCTACAGTAACCCAAAAGGGACGCATAGCTATTGTCATAGCAAAGAACTCAGATTGCGGTAAACCGCAAGGAGAGCTCATCATTTATTAAGGCCATAGAGGGAGGTGTGTATAAATGGGATTGAACATTCATGCCCTATAATTTGAAAGTGTTCACGATAAAGTTTGGTGGTAGCTTAAAATGAGACACTTTGAGTGCATTATACATACATATTTCTTTTTAAGGAAAATCAATTCGCGGGTGGTAGGGCTTTTATGAACTAGGACAATGCTGCGTGTGTTTTCAGGTTAATTAAAGTAAGTAGTTACTGTGTTTCGAAGCATTTCAATCTCCTTGTTACAAAACTCAGAGCGCGAAACGCTAAGTGTCTCGCTCTTTTGACGAAAGAATTGTCCGTTTAACATGAGAAAAAAATTGGTCAGAAGTCATGAAAGGGGTGACTTTCAGAGACGAAAAG